TTTTTATCAAAAGCAGCCTGTTGCCATAGCAACCAATCAAGCATCAAGCGGTATCTACTCCCTCTTTCTCTCTCACTCACTCATATATATTCTCTCTCTCATCTCTCTCTTCTCTCTCTCCTTTCTTCTCCTCTCTCTCTCTGTCTCTCTCTCTCTTCTGTCTGTCTGTCTGTCTGTCTGTCTGTCTGTCTCTCTCTCTCTCTCTCTCTCTCTCTCTCTCTCTCTCCTCTCCTCTCTCTGTCTCTCTCTCTCTCTCTCTCTCTCTCTCTCTCTCTCTCTCTTTGCTCTCTCTCTCTCTCTCTCTCTCTCTCTCTCTCTCTCTCTCTCTCTCTCTCTCTCTCTCTCTCTCTCTCTCTGTCTCCCTCTCTCTCTCTCAAATATTCTCATCTCTTTTTCCCTCTCTCTTTCTTTTTCACTTGTTCATATTTTTTCCTCTTATTCTCCCTCTCTCTCACTCACGTAGTTATATTTCTCATTTCATTTTGTCTGTCTGTCTCTCTCTTTCTTTCTTTCTCTCTCTCTCTTCTCTTCACTCTCTCTCTCTTTCTGTCTGTCTGTCTCTCTCTCCTTTCTCGCTCTCTCTCTCTCTTCTTCTTTTTCTCTTTCTTACTCTCCCTCTCTCTCGTTCCTTTCATCTCCCATAGTCTCTCATCCCCACGCTTTCTTTCGCTTGTTTACAAATTCCCCTTCCCTTCTCTTTTTCACTCTCTACTTCACTCTTACCTTTATAGATACTTACTTTTTTCTGTCTCTTTATTTCAACTTTTTCCGTTTTTTTCTCTCTTCGTTCTCAATCACTCGCACTCACCTTCTCTCCTATTCTCTATCCTACCAATTCCCTCTTTCCCTTGGGCACTCTCTCTCTCTCTCTCTCTCTCTTATTCTCCTTCATTGCCACCTCTCTTTCTCTCTTTTTTCAGTTACTTGATCTATCTCTTTCTGTCTTTCTTTTTCATATACTTGGTCTCTCTTTTTCTCTCTTTTTCACTGTCCCCTCTCCTCCTCTCCTTTTCTTTTTCATTCACATTTCTCTCTCCTTTACTGCCCACTCTCTTTCTCTTCTATTTTGTTCTATCTCACTCTCTCTCTCTCTCTCTCTCTCTCTCTCTCTCTCTCTCAATCACTCTCTCACTGACCAACTCATCTTCTTCCTTTCTCTTTATTTTACTATTTTTCAATTCACTCCGTTTCGGTTTCCTCTTCGTATCTTCTTTATCCAATAATTTCTCACCTTTCCGTCACCCTTTGTGTCCTTATTTTTCTCATGTTTACTCTCTCCCTGTTTCTGTTTCATTCAACTTCTTTTTCCTCTTCTTGCTCTGTTAGTCTCTCCCCCCCTTTCTCTTCTCTCTCTATCTATCTAATCCTCCCTCCTTCCTCTCTCTCTCTTTCTTTTTTTTGCTTCTCTCTCTTCCTCCCTCCCCTCTCCCTCTCTCTTTCTCTATCTCTTCTCTCCCATCCCCTCTCTCTCCTCTCTTCTCCCTCCTCTCTCCCTCCTCCCACTCTCTCTCTCTCTCTTCCTCCCTCTCTTTATCCTTCTCTCTCTCTTCCTCCCACTCTCTCTCTCTTTATCCTTCTCTCTTTCTCTACCTCACCTCTCTCTCGCTCCTCACACGCGCGCTCTCCCCCTTCCTCTCCTTCCCGACGCCCTTCGCCAGCGCTCGGCGACGCGGGTCCTCATTGTGTCCCGCCCCTCACCAGACACGTTTCGATATTCACACACAATCCTTCAGGTCCACTCACTCTTCCACTTCATATTAGTCTTCTTTCGGACCTTTGAAGAACCGGCCGCACCACACCCTGTCGTTCTTCATTATGTTCTTCTGGTTCAGCTTGGTCTCTTCTTCATTACTTCTTCAAACTGGTGCCTGAGGAAGAGCCCGCCCCCTCCCTGCACATCCCCTCCGGCCAAGAAACGGCCCTCCCACTGAGGCCTCAGGTCGCCCCGCTCCTCCCTGCCGTCTCCTCCTCCTCCACCCTTGGGCCTGAGCACGCTGGCTCCTTCCCCTCCTTCCCTACGAGGATGGGCCCACCTTCTCCGGGGTTCTCTGTGTCCTCGAGCAGTGCCCCTCATGCCCAGGCGGCCAGGTAACTCCCCCCCTCGCGCTGGCGATGACCTGGCGTCCTCCTGCCCCTCTTGCCCCTCTTTGTGCCTCCCGAGGGACTTCCACCTGGCCTTCCTGAACCCCATGGCAGAGGCCCGCTCAGTCCACACCCCTACCTCGCCAGCGATGGACGACTCCGGCTCCACCTAGACCCCGGGCCTCAGTCCCCTCTACCGCGGCAATCGCTCGCCATCCCCGCGTGGGACTCCTTCCCGACAAGGGAGGCCATGGGTAGCCGACCTGGGAGATCAAAGAACGCCAGAGGAAACAAACACACATCTGACCACTTAACACCATCCTCCCCCCCTGCTTGCCCACCCTCCTCCCCTCTTTCTGGCCCACCTCCTTCCTCCTCTCCCCCTCCTCCCCTCTCCCCCTCAACACTCGTGTCTGATTCTAGAGCTGAGAACAGTAAAGAAGATAAAGAGATGAAAGAGAGTGAACAGAAGAATGGAGTTGTGTGTTTATGATTTGTATCGATGAGAGGGCGAGAAGGGAGAGGAAGGCGAGGAGCGACTCAGGAGAGGGGGTTCCTGTACACGACAAAGGAGGAGGCGCCGTCAACGTGAGAGGGGGGCCAAGAGGAGAGGGGAGGAGGAGCCGCAGGACGTGAAGCAGCGCGACACACTGGTCACGGGGGAGTGGAGAGGGAGGAGGAAGGGAGACCAGAGGAGGTGGAGGAGGGAAAAGGAGGAAGGAGAGAAGAGGTTGGAGAGGGGGACGGCAGGGAGGAGCGGGGAGAGAGGAGTGGGTGCACGGGTGGCGGATGGGGGATGGCAGGAGGGCGGGGGAGGAGGAAGGTTGGCGGAAGGTCTGCCGTCTGCTGGAAGTGTCTGGCGAAAGTGCCCTGAAATCTTAGAACTTCCGGGCGCGGAGGGGGGAGGGGTCCGCCGTCTCTCTCGGGGGGGGGGTCGAGGTCGGTCTGATTATTTGTTTGGGGGCGCTCGATTCACACACGCACACACCACACACAACACACACACACACACACACTCACACATAGACACGCACCACACACACACACACACACATTACACGCACACACACACACACACAACACACACAAACTTTCTACATACATAACCTTGCCTGTTATTACCAGAAACTTCGCCAATTCGACATTTAGAACTGGAGTCGACCGATTATGATTCTAAAACTTTCGACTTTGTCCCTGATTCTATGGTTCGAACGCGCCATGTCTCTGACAGTTTTTTTTTTTACATCTTAAGTTTTAGTTATTGTGACTGATTTTTAATTCGGGTGGCTGCACACACACACACTCACTCACACACACACACACACACACCACACACACACACACACACACTCACACACACCACACACACGTACACACACAACACACACACACTTACACACCACACGTACACACACACGCCGCAATTACCTATTGCAAGCCTTCTTAAGTAACGATTTTCATAACAACAACGATCTTTCATATCTTCCCTCCGCCTATACTCGGGAGGAAATGTACAACCAAGGATAATTTAGATGAGAGGAGAGGAGCAGAGAGAGAGAGAGGAGAGAGAACGAGAGAGAGAAGACGAGAGAAGGAGAAGAGAGAGAGAGGGGGAGGGAGAGGGACAGGAGGGAGACAGAGAGAGAGAGGACAGAGAGAGAGAGAGGACAGAGAGAGAGAAGAGGACAGAGAGAGAGGAGAGAGGACGAGAGAGAGAGAGAGGAGAGAGAGAAAGAGAGACAGAGAGAGAGAGAGAGAGAGAGAGAGAGAGAGAGAGAGAGAGAGAGAGAGAGAGAGAGAGAGAGAGAGAGAGAGAGAGAAAACGAAAACAGACGGATTCTAACGCGGCCGCAGACAAAGGCAGATCGCGATGGACCAGAGAGAAGGGCCAAGTGTGCGAGGAGATAACACCAACCTGCGAAGAGGAGAAAGGGAAGAAGAAGAAGAAGAAGAAGGAGGAGGAGGAGGAGGAGGAGGGAGGAGAAGAAGAAGAAGAAGAAGGAAAGAAGAAGAAGAAGAAGAGAAGAAGAAGAAGAAGAAGAAGAAGAGGAGGAGGAAGGAGGAGGAGGAGAAGAAGAAGAAGAAGAGGAGGAGGAGAGGAAGAGGAAACTATGAAGCACAGAAGAAGAAGAACTATGAAGTAGATAGAAGAACAGAGAAGAAGGACTATGAAGCACGATGACGAAGGGAAGGGAAAAGAAAAAGGTGAAACAAGTTGGAATGAAAAGAGGAAGAGAAGAAGAGCAAGAACTATGAAGCACAGAAGAAGAGGTAATGGCGATGAGAAGGATGAAAAGAAAAAGACGAAAAATGAAGAACAATACTGGGAAACAGAGAGGGGAAGAAAAAAAGGCGAAATGAAAGGAGAAGAAAAAGAAGAGGAAAAAACAAGAACAGGAACTAAGTGATACAGAAGAGAAGGAAAAGGTGCAGAGGAAGACGTGTAGAAAGAGGAAACGAAGAAGGTGGAAGAGAAGGATGGAAGGAAATGGAAATATAAAGATGATGAAAAAGAACACTGAGAAACAAATGGGAGAAAGAGGTAAAGATGGAATAAAAGGAAAAAAAAAAAGACAGAACCAGGAACAAGAAGGCACAGAAGAGGAGGAGAAAGTGCAAAGGAAGACGTGGAGGGGGTGACGAAGAAGTAGAAGAAAAAAAGATGATGATGGAGGATTAAGACTAGAGGAAAGAAGACGGAAAGCAAGAAGAGGAAAGGAATAACACAAGAAAGCAGAAAGTAAAGAGAAGGAAACAAGTAAAAAGAGGAAAAGAAGAAGAAAAAGACGACGATGGTGATAACACTACAAAAAGAAAAAAAAAAAGAAGAAAAGAATAAGGAAGAGAAAGATTAAGGAGAATGAAGACAAGAAAGGTGACGCGGCCTCACGAAGGAGGACAGAACCTCCGCTCGCTAGATGGCTCTGACGGCCGGCTACAAAGAGGGCGCTGCAGGGACCCCTCTCCACGCTCGGTATCTTATCAACAAGGTTATTATTATGATTCGACCTCCCGCCCTCTCTCTTTTCTGCGCTGGGAGGAGAGGATGGGCGTGGATGAGGTGGGTTAGGGGGTTTCAAGGAGGTGGATGGCATGAGAAAAGGAAAAAAGGTGGATAATCGGTCGTAGTGTGGATGAGATGTGGAAAAAATATGGATGATTTTCGTTCGCTGAGACTTTATTATTATTATTTTTTATTTTTTTTTACTTTGTTTTGATAAAGACTCGAGTGACCTTATTTATTATATATAAAAAAAAAAAATCATTTATGTAAAACTTTTTTCATAGAAGGAGGAAGGAGTAAATAACGAACAATTCCCCACCTTTTAGTCAACATCGTTACGACTGATAAACAAGACTCGATCTCTCGCCGGCCGTTTTTGCCCTGCCCATTAGGGACGCCATCACGATATTATTGTTATTAACTTTATTAACACTAAAAGCTTTTGACTCGCGTATCGACTACGAGATAAATACGTTCTTCTGATTCTCCAACATGTATTAATGTTACTGATCGGCTTATTACAATTTTTCACCGGTTGTAATCCGGTTCTGGAGACAACAGCTGATGAACTTATGAACATGTGTTATGCGAGGATGCGTTCAGACACAGATGGACAGGTAGAGAGATTGATAGATATACAGATAGAATGATAGACAGATAGATAGATTGATAGATAGATAGATAGAGGAGTATACGGACAGAGGAGTATATAGACAGCTGTTTAGAAAAATAGATAAATGAATAGGTAGATAGACAGATAGACAGATAGTTGAATAATCAAATAGATAAATAGAGATATATAGACAGTTAGGCTAACAGACATATACATATACATACATACATGCATACACGAACACACGCACACACACGCACACACACACACACACACACACAACACACACACACACACACACACACACACACACACACACACACACACACACACACACACACACACACACACATGAAAACCCATAGATAGCTAGACAGTTATAAGACCCACAGATAGATAGATAGACATTTATGAAGACCCACAGGTAGATAAACAGACAGCCCCACAGATAGATAGGTAGACAGATAGTTGTGAAAACACACAGATAGATAGACACAAACACACACACATGAAAACCCATAGATAGATAGACAGTTATAAGACCCACAGACAGATTGAGAGACAGTTATGAAGACCCACAGATAGATAGATAGACAGATAGTTATGAAAGCCCACAGATAGAAAGATAGACAGTTATGCAAACCCATAGACTGATAGACAGATAATTATGAAAACCCACAGAAAGATAAATAGAAAAATAGTTATGAAAACCCACAGATAGATAGATAGACAGTTATGAAGACCCTCAGACAGATAGATAGACATATGGATGGGTAGGAAAACCCACAGATGGATAGGTAGACAGGTAGATTTACAGAGAAATAAGAGAGAGGTAGGTGAAGAGAGATAGATGCTGAGAGGGCGAGGAAGCAGACAAGTGCGATAATTACGATAATGCTACTAATTATCCCGCTCGTAAAAATCTACCGCGTCCCAGGTTCTAGCGACCGATAACGCTTATCACACCTTTATCACTTTAGGGAGAAAGAAGAAGGAGAAGAAGAAAAAAGGGAAAACAAACACGCTAATCACCTTGATCAGCGATAAGGCAAGATTCCAACACAAAAACCAAAATAGGGAACCCCCAACCCCCCTCTCCCCCTCCCCTCCCCCGCTCCGTTCGAAACCTCCCTTCCTAAAAATGCCCGCCGGGTATTTGTTCGATACCCCCCACCCCATTTTCATCCCTCCCCCCCTCCCTTCCACCAGCTCCCATCCCTATCCCTGCCCCCCTTCGCCCAGGCTTACAAACATGACAAAAATAATGGAGATTTGACAGTTCAGATGAAACTCAGCGATAAGCCAGGCTATAATACGAGCAGACATTTCGACAGACACCCCCCACCCACCCACACACACGCTCCGCTACACCGAAGGATCAATATGATGACTGAAATTCTTGTTTATGGGTAATTGATGATGGTTTGAACAGCAGGGGGGGAGGGAAAGGAACCAGGAAGGAGGGAGAAAGGGGGGATAAGGGATAAGTACGGGAGAAAAAGACAGAGAGAGAGAGAGAGAGAGAAGAGAGAGAGTAAAGGAGGGAGCGAGAAGGAGAGAGGAGTTTCCAATACCTTCACGCGGAGAATCGAACCCTCTTTATTCGTGTAAGGGGGATCCGAACGCTTATTATGGATAGCTTTTGTTCGCGGAGACGAGAACAGGTGGCGGGACCGCGTGATCCTGGGCGTGTTTGCGGGTTCAGTCTTATGTTATGGGAGAAGGTTTTGATGTCGTGGATATTTTAATCTGCTTCGGATATTAAAAAAATAATCTTAATTCATTTGTCGTCTGTGAATGATCTGATCAAATATGAATCGAAATTAATAAAAAAAACGGAATATTTTTTATGATATCAGCTCATCTGTTGTTAAAACTGGTTATACTTATCTTCGTAATCAACATTATTGATATGATGAATATAGTAATAAGAAAAATCATTGACAGATTATCATTGACGGTTAATCCCTTTAATAATATTATCGATATTACTAGCCGTCATCAATATAATTATTATTATCATCATAATCATCATCATTTATAGGAAAAAAAGGCATGAATGAGAATTCATAACTTCAAAGAGTAAAAAAGAGATTATCTTATAACATAGATATATACACCATTATCTATCCATCAGTGATATACATTATTATCGAATAGCGCTTTGAAGTTATTCATTCTCACTCTACAAGTGTCACTATATTATATGTTCATCTCTATTGTTCTTTTATCATTGAATTTCCTGTTATTGTAGTTATCAATATTATTCGTTATCACCATTATTACCATTATCGTTATCATCATTATTATTGTTGTTGTTGTTGTAATGTTATTATTATTATATTATTGTATTATTATTATTATTATTTTATATTATTATTATTATGATCATCATTATCATTATCATTATTTTTTTATTATTATTACATTATTATTATTGTATATCTTTATCAGCATAAATATTACTATAATTGGCATTATATCATCAACATCCATTATTAATATCATTAGTACTACTAACTTTATTGTTGTCATTACTATTATTATTGTCATTATTATCCTCCTCATTATTATTGTTATTATTATTATTATCATTATTATTATTACCATTATTATTATTACTATTATTAGTATCATTATATTATACTATTATTATTATTATTATTATTATTATAATCAATATTATCATCATCATCATCATTATCACTGTAGCATTATTATCATCATTATGTTATTATCAGTATCAGAATTGTTATAATCTTTATCATTATTGTTATTATCAATATCACAATTGTTGCTTCCATTATCATGATTATAATTATTATCATCAATATTATATCATTAATATTATATTGCTATTAATCACAGTATCTTATGAATATTTTGTTATCATTATGATGATGATTAGGTTTAGCATTATTATTATCATTACTATTGTCATTATGATTATCATCATCATTATATATGTCATCATCATCACTATTGTCTATACTAGTAATGATATCATTATCATTTTTATAGTTATCATTATCGTTATCATTATTGTCATCACCATAATTATCAAAATTATCATTTTTGTTATCAATTTTACCATTATTATCGTTATTATTGTTTTTTATCATTACTATTATTGCTATTATCATCATCATTATTATCATTATTACTATTATCATTATTATATTGCCATCATTATTATTATTATTATTATTATTATTATTATTATTATTATTATTATTATTATTATTATTATTATTATTATTATCATTATTATCATCATTAGTATCATCAACATTTTTATTATCATTGTTATTATTATCATTATTATCATTAACTTTATCATTATTACCATTTTATTATTATTATCATTGTTATCATTACTATCATCGTCCTCATGATCAGCATTATCATGATCATGATATATTTTGTTATCATTACTCTTATTATCATGATTAGCATCATTATCATTCTTCTTCTTTTTCTTATTATCATTATTGTTATTTTCATTATTATTATTATCTGTTATTATTACTATCATTGTTGATATCAATATTATTATTAACAGTATCAATTGTGTTTATTTATGTTATTGTTATTATCGTTATCATTATCCTTATTATTAATCTTAGTATTATAATGAAATAAATGATGGATAATAAATAATAACTATAGTTAATAAACAAATGAATAATAATCATAATAATAACGGCAACAATGGTAATAATTTCAATTATAAAGAAATGATAATAAAAAAATGAAAGTTATACTACAATTAATACTATCATACTACTGCTACTACTGATGATAGTAATAATGATGATGATACTAATAACAATGATGATAATAATAATAGTAATAATAATATCAATAGTAGTAGCAGTAGTAATAATAATCGTTATTATCATTATTATCAGTATTACTATTATCATTATCATTCCTGTTGTTATCATAATTATTACAACAATGATGGTAATGATAATAATAATGGTAAAATGATAATGATAACCGTTATTTTTTTCATTATTATTACTATCATTAGTATTATTGTGATTATTGTTATTATCATTATTAGCATCATTATCATTGTTAGCGTTTTATTATTATATTATTATCATTATTAATATCATCATCGTTTTTATTATTATCATTATTATTATCATCATCGTTTTTATTATTATCATTATGATTATTATTATTGGTATGATTATCATTATCATTACTTTTTAAATATCATTATCATTACTTTTTGAATATCATTATCATTACTATTATCATTAACATTTTATCATTATTATTATTATTATCATTAGCATTATAATATTAATGATAATCATAGGTATAATAAAGATAATAATAATAACAACAATAAAATTTAA